AGGATTGCCCAACCTTCCTTCCGAGGAGTGGCTGGTGGGTTTGAACCGCCAGCCTTCTGGTTAGCAGTCAAGTGCCTTAGCCACTATGCTATCAGAGTCCATTGTATATATGTACCAAATTTTATTTATCCATTCATCTATTGATAGACCTTTTTACTACTGTAAATAATGCTGCAATGAACATTGGTATATATGTATCTGTTTTTCTTTCTTCTTTCAAAAAATTTTGAGTATATACCTAGAACTAGAATTGCTGGGCCATATATGGAAACTGTAAATTGTAAAGGTGTTTTGGTGGCACAGTGCTTAAGCCATTTGACTGCTAAGTGGAGCTCTGGTGGTGTGATGCCTAAACCATTTTACTGCCAATCAGAAGGTTGGTGGTTCAAACCCACCAGCCACTCCATGGAAAGAAGACTGGGCAATCTACTCCTGTAAAGATATACTGCCTTGGAAACCCAAATGGGATCATTATGAGTTGGAATCAACTCAGTGGCAGAGAGCTTTTTGGTTTAGCTGCTCCACAGAAGGAAGATGGGGCAACCTATATTCCTAAACATTTATCACCTTGGAAATGCAATGATGGGTTGCTATGAGTCAGAATTGGCTTGATGGTGTTCTTTTTCTTTCTTTTTTAATGGTAATTCTATATTTAACTCTTTTAGGAACCCTGATATTTTCTTTAGAGTAACTACTTGCTTAACATAAATCTGTTTGTACTATATGTTAAGGATAAATACAAGTAAAGCAGTATTTCTGCATGACAGACCCTAGATCAAGTACTACATCTGAATAACAAAACAGTGATTTGGATTTTTTTTTTCCATTTGTTAAATGAGAAATGTGTCCTTTATCAGGATTAACAATCTGATATAGGTCATAAAATCTGAGGCAAGTCACAGATACAATCTCATCTATCTGACCCTTAGTTCCATGACAAATGAACTTGACAATGTTTTCAACTAAATATAAGAAAATGTGTCCATGTCTCTCCCATGCTCATGTGATTGACAGATTTGCTTGACTTGCTAATTTCTTTTATCAACAGAGTGGTAAACAGGGGTGGTCTGGTGCCCAGACATTCAACCTCAGAGATTAGATTATTTAAATGGTAATTTATTTTAATCAAAAAGTCTGGTGGTGCAGTACAGCAATCAGTTGCTAACAAAATGGACAGCATTTGAACTCACCAACTGCTCCACAGGAGAAAGATGAAGTAGTTTACTTCCATGAAGATTTATAGCCTTAGAAAGCTTATGAGGCAGTTCTACTCTGTCTTATAGAGGTATATGAGTCAAAATCAACTTGATGGCAGTGAGTTTGGTTTGGTTATGTTCTTTTAAGCATTTAATTATTCACTATTTCATTCACTTTTTGCCAATTTATCAAATGATTTAATGATTTCTGTTACAGTAATATATTTTTAAAATAGCAATAAGTAGGAAAATATCATTCAATTTTATTTGTTTCCAAGAATAATTGTTAGGTTCCCTTTACCACTCTCTAGTAAGTAGGCTTTTCCTTCTGAGAAAATTTGAAACTTGTTACCTTGAATATATTAATGCTTTTCTTAATTATAAATTATTTATCTGATTGGCATCTATTTTAATTGTGAAACATTTATTTAAATAAGAAAGATGATAATCATGTCTTTAGAAAACAGATGCATTCCTTTCTTCACATGGCATTTTTTGATTGCTTGCTATGTGCTGCCATGCACTATGAGATAACTATTTTTATCTATATCTTTCTACCTGTGTATCTGTGTGTGTGTGTATATATATATACATATATATATGTGTATATATATGTGTGTGTGTGTGTGTGTGTGTGTGTGTATATATATATATGGCCTACTTTTATGAAAAGATAGCATTCTTATTCTCAGGTAGAATAGAAATCAGTAGGAGCCCAAGAGTGAAGCCAAAGTGAATACTTTAAACCATATTAAACTTATAACCTGTGGCCAAGAAGGAAATCAGAATTTGAAAATTATGCAAACACTGAAAGTTGTAAGTAGAAATCTTAAGAAAAAGATAAACTGTCTTCCTTAGCATAACAGCAAAGATACATCTAATTATTAGAGTCATAATTCTCAGAAATTCTATCAAGTAAGGTTGTATTTATAGTTTCAGATTTTATAAAGAAATTATTATTTTTTATAGTGAGTTAATTAGGAAAACTGAGACCACAAAACATATGAATAAAAAGCCATCTCTTATTTAAAACCTCTGTCTGTCTCTTGGACACACACACACACGCAAATACACACATGCACAGATTTCCATTCGTTTGCTAAATTGCTAAATACTGATCATGATTACAGGCTTGAAGATACTGACAGGCATTGGCTCATCCAGAATTATCAATAAAAATTATGAAGAGCAAATGACAAAAATTAATTTTGTCAGTTGAGTCACACACAGTTCATAAACCTCAACATTTCTCATAAACTTCCACTGGCTAATTCTCAAAGCAAATAACTCACCTGGGTATATTTAGGCCTTAATGAAAACAGAATGAATCATTTGTTTATTCACTCAACAAACTATGTGTCAAGAGCAGTGTATGTACTGAGAGCAAGGGACATCTAGCTTATTCAAAATCAGTTTGATTTCTCCTCTGGCACGTATTCTGTTTAATTTTCATCTTTTTTGCACTTAGAATAAATTTTAATTTTTTTAAATTCAGGTAAAAACCATATGACAAAATTAACCATTTTAAATGGTTTAAATTAACCATTAATGCCATTCAGTGGCATTCAGTTTATTTACAATATTGTGTAACTACCACTTTTATCTAGTTCCAAAATATGTCCATTATGCCATCAGGAAAGCCCATGCCTGTTAGGCAATTGCTTCCTATTCCCCATCCTGACAGCCTCTCTTAGATTAATTTGCATATATAAAATTCCAATGCTGTGGGATATTTATATTTTTTGTTATAGTTGTTGTTGTTGTTAAGTGCCGTCGAGTCGTTTCCGACTCATAGCGACCCCATGCACAGCAGAACGAAACACAGACCGATCCCGCGCCAGCCCCACAATCCCTGCTATACTTGAGCCCATCATCGCAGCCACTGTGTCAATCCATCTCCTTGAAGGCCTCCCCCTCTTTCGTCGACCCTCCATCCTACCAAGCATGACATCCTTCTCCAGGGAATGGTCCCTTCTTACAACATGACCAAAATAGGTGAGACGAAGTCTGGCCATTCTTGCTTCCAAGGAGCATTCTGGCTGCACTTCCTCCAGGACAGATCTGTTAGTTCTTTTAGCAGTCCACGGTACTTTCAGCATTCTCCGCCAGCACCACAACTCAAAAGCATCAACTCTTCTTGGGTCTTCCTTATTCATTGTCCAGCTCTCACTTGCATATGAGGTGATTGGAAATATCATGGCTTGTGTGAGGCGCACCTTAGTCCTCAATGAGATATCCTTGCTCCTCAGCACTTGAAACAGTTCCTTCGCAGTTGACTTTCCCAATGCTACACGTTGTCTAATGTCCTGACTGCTGCTTCCATTGGCATCAATTGTAGAATCAAGCAATGTGAATTCTTTGACAACCTCAGTCTTCTCTCTATCATCTGTCAGTTTGTTGTACTGTGGTAGCTCACATGTTGCTGTGATTCTGGAAGCTATGCTTCCAGTATTTCAAATACCAGAAAGTTCACCATTGTGGACAGGTTTCAGAGGAGTTTCCAGACTAAAACAGAGTAAGAAGAAAAGCCTAGTGATCTAGATCTGAAAATTAGCTGATAAAAAACCCTACGAATCACAACAGAATATTGTCTGCTACAGTGCTGAATGCTGAGCCCCATCGGTTGGAAGGCACTATGCAACAGCTGCAACAATGGTCTTGAAAGTGCCAGTGATCATGAGGGTGGTATAGGACTGGAAAACAATCCATTCTGTTATACATAAAGATGTCATGAGTTGGACATCATTCCATAGCACCTAATAATAACAATAATGTTTGATGAGCACTATGTCTGTCAGAAATGGATCTAAATATTATCTCACAGCAACTTATAAGTGTTGCTATTATTTTACATATGGGAATATTGCTCATTTTATATATGAGAAACTGAGGCATAGATAGCTTTCTCAAAACCACAGTGCTGTTAAGTAGTGGGAACATGATTGTGTTGGGAGTTGGATTTGTAGCCAGCAGTTATATTAAGAGATTATACATGCTCTCCCCAGGATG